TTAATTGATCAAAATTTTTTAGTCAATTACAATAGTCATTTACAATAGTTAGAGTTGTTAATGGAGTACTCCAAACTATAATAAAACATATAAACCACTTCAGTTTTAAACCAGAGTGGTTTATATATTTTATTATAGTTTGAAGTACTTCATTAACAACCTAACAATAGTCATTTAAAATTTCATTGTTTATAATAAAAGTTTTGCCAGGAAGAAATTATTCTCTGCTCTTTGCGAAATATTTCGGATTTTAAAGGTAATTTAGCACAATCACTTTAACTTGAATTTGGCTCACTTGAACCTAAATTTGATCAATTTGAATATAATTAAGGTTTATTTGACCTGCACTTGGTCTATAGTACTTCGAGATAATCCAAATACTGTTGAACTTCCCAAAACCGATATGTATAGTAGACAGGTTTCATATCAGTATTGAGAGGTTATGAGATTTGAAAAATAAACTCAGATTAATATAGCAGAAACAGACTTGTTAGATTGATTTTTGATAGGTTAGTGATTTTGAGAGATTCAACAGTATTTTTGGTTTTAATTTGAACAGTAAGTAGTTACTTGTAAGATGTTTTGGTGTCATTGTTCATAAAGAAAATATTGTCATTAAAAGCCATCTTTTATAAAAATTAAATTATCTGAATTCAGACATTTTACTAAAATGCACCAATCTATTCAAACGTGAAGATCACTTCTCTAAAATTAATATATGTAAAAAACAAGTAAAAAATTTTAAATAATTCGATTGATTATAAGATCTATTTTAATAAGGATGTTATTGATTTATTTGGCTCTATTCATTAATCAGTTTTTATAATAGTTAAATATACAAGCCGATAATATCCCTAATTTTTAAATGCTAAATATGTCAGATATAATATCCAACGCTGCTCCAAATTCTTGAAAAATTTCTAACAAATAAAAGCTTATACATATGGTGCGAGCGGCCTAGTCACGTAGCTGAAAATTTTGCCAATCATTTACTTATAAAATTGAATTTGATTGGTTAATTAAAAGTTGTTTTTTTTTTAAAAGTTAATAAAGGTTTAAAATGCTTAAAACAAAATACATTGACAGATCTTATCCAAAGCTACTTAAATATATTAGAATTCATAAACAAATTTCTTTGAAAAAATTCTTGCATTTCGTGATTTTGATTTAAAACTAATGGTAATTCTTGTAAAGGAACTTTAGGATTTTGAAATTCATGTGAATTTGCTGGTTGTGGTGTAAGTAGAGAAGCATCTTGAGTTGTCAAAGTAGAAGACATACTTGAAGCAAGATTTGCTATTTGCGTAAAAAATAAGTTAGATTCAAAAAAAATTATTCAAAAAAAAGCAAAAAATTTTATCTTGATAAACTTGTTGTGCAGATTTAAAACCCTGATAAAAATCTTTTGTAGGAAGTGTAATGGAAGAAAATTTTTATAGTTTCATTAGAATCCATTACGTTTATTAAATTAGCCAGAGCAGATTTTTGAACCCCATCTTTTGGTCATTCATAACTAGCAATTCCAGATAGAGACTGATATCTGGTAATTGTAGATACTTCATAATCATTAGTGCCAATATCTTTTAATCATTGTACAAGTATTTTACAACCTGCTTGATTAGTGATTTTACAATCTTCACAATTAATACCAGTTTTTTCAGCAAGTACTCTCATGAAAGTTTTTAATTTCAATTGTCCAAGTTGAGTCCATACTTTAATTGATGAAGAATCTATTTTAAATATGTAAATATTATGCATTATGTATTAATATTAATAACAAATATATCCCTTAGATTGTAGTAGAATACAGGCAAATTTGCCTGCGTTTTTACACTTTTTTAGCTCTGATTTACTTT